TCTAAAGTTAATAAGTTAATGGTCAAGAGCCCAACTAAAGCACACACTTATCTCCATAATGGTGACTTAAACATTCCGGTTTTCTCCTTCAGAGATTCTGCTTGTTAACATCAGGTGTCTTCAATAATGCTCAATCATCACTCAGTTATTCACTTAATTAACTCATTAGCTCAGAGTTTAATTGGGTCGCTTAAAATGACCAAATTCCATGATGTTGAAGTTACATGAACATATTATGTTTGTTCAACGAAACATAGTTATGTGGAACCGGTGGAACCTGTTTACATAAAAAAGTTAAGTAAAGCCAACATATCATTTTTTTGAGTGTATACCCTCATTCACTAATCCCTAATTTAGTTCACTAGTATAGTCCACTTGACTGAGTGAGTGAAAAGAAGTGAATGAATTGAGACACTGATGAACACCTGATAAACAGAATCACTGAAGGACAAGAACAGAAATAAGAGAAACAAGAACTGACTTCCAGCCACTGAGTGTGAAAACAGTTTACAAACTAGTTCAACATTATTTCTTTCATACATGTACAAAAGTACTTGTTGAGAATTAACAGAGATTTAGTTGTTGATGTTTTATTGAAAATAATAAAGTTTGTAGTCACCATGATGGAGATTTGCATTTGCTTTAGTTGGGCTCTTGACTCTTTGCTGTTAGTTTTTTTGTCCTGGATGCTCTAACAGTCTATTTATAAAGCATATTTTTTTATGGCAAGAAATTATATCAAAATCATCCTGGACATGTCTGATTCTCTGATCTCATCCTGTGTATAATCGTTGAATTTATGGGTATTTAATATTTGATAATATTATAGATACTATTATATGTGCTTTTCTGCTGTTATCTCGGTAAATAGCGTTCGTCAGTTCCAGTTTGTATCCAGCCTCTCACGGAGACTTCAGATGCCCCAACACCTGCGATGAGATAACTAAACGCCTGTGAAGAGACAACTCAACGCCGGCGATATGTTACGCCCTAAATTAATACATGATTAACTAACTGTATTTTTCTATGTACATTTCTGAAATGCACTTTCTGTAAAGCTGCTTTGAAACAATATGTATTGTGAAAAGCGCTATACAAATAAATTTGAATTGAATATTAATCATACATCTGTGAATCTACAGCATGAGATCCAGCAATGTTTCTGTAATCAGTTATTCTGAAGGTTATTGAAATCATATAGTGCATTAAAACCTTTGAAACTACTGCTTAACTCAAACACACACATACATCAACAATCAGTATATGAATCTCAACAATGGTGACAATCAAAAGTTTCATGTCACAATGCATAATGGATTACAGGATAGTATAAAACTCACAGCATGCATTGCAGCATGATTTTTTTTTGCCACCACTGTTGAAATTCATGTGCTGATTTTTGATATCTGTGTTTCTATAAGATAGTGTAGCTCTGTTTTGTTGTTGTGCATCATGTTTTAAAAAAAATACTTGTCATTGTAACTTATTGCAGTAGTTTCAAAGTGGCGGTAATGAAACACTTTTGATAGAGGATTAAACTCTAAATGAGATCAGTGAATGAACAGGCTACTTGATGATTTTCTCATCATCATCAAAAAACTGCATTCACAAGTCGTGCGTGTACAAGTATGGCATGCAAAAACAGTTCAAGCAGCCGGAGAAAAACTAAAGGGTCAGCATCCCAACTAAAGCAAACACTGATCTCCATAATGATAACTTCAAACCAAACATTTTCAATTAAACATCTCAATAACAACTTCTGTAGATGTATGACAGAAATAAAGTCATATTGGTTAATAATAAGTGTAATAATGTGTAATGGCTGGAAGTCAGTTGTAGTTCTTGTGTTTCTCTATTTTCTGTTCGTGTGTTCCTCTTTCCTTCAGTGATTCTGCTTGTTAACAGCAGGTGTTCATCACTAATGATCAACAATCACTTATATAATCACTTAGCTATCTCACTGCAACACTTAATCAATGTTACTTTTACTCTTTAAAGTGTAGAAATCTCTTTATTTACATTTTTTTTAGTGCTCTCAAAATAAGTTCACAGTAATACTTTGCTCACATTATTAGTGCATTCTAAATTTTAGTTAACACATTTAAACGACAGTTGGTCAATTTACGGCAGTCGGTTTCTGTAAGTGAAATTATTTAACTAGTATTAGTTAATTAGTTTTAATTTAGTGCATGGTATTTTAACAGTAACATACTGTAGATTACAGTAAAGAACTGTACAATTAACAGTAAATTACTGGCAACAGTATTGCCAGTACTTTACTGTAAACAAGCCTGGTAAGGTCTAACAGTGTATATATATTGTCATATCGTTCAGCCTTAAAAGTTGTATAGTTTTTTGTCAGTGTTTATTTAAAACTGTCCAATTATGCAGAATTAAGATGGTAAATATTTAATTGATGAATTGTCAATACAAATATATAGGGTATGATTTTTACCTCTAAATTCAGCATATTGACAGAAAACAATAATTGCAAATCCACCTTTCGCTGCCAGTCCAGTTGCTTCTATGAGTGCCAGCAGTCCATTTGCTTCTCTTTTCTGTAGCTTTTTGCAGTCTGTAAAAATATACACTGCAAAAAAAAAAAACTTTGAAATTTACTGTAAAAAAAAACAGCAGCTGTGGTTGCCAGTATTTTACCATAAAAATATGGTGGCAATGTTTTATGTTTTACGGAACTTAAAATTACGGGCAAAAAACACACAATGTAAACAAAAACTGTGAAATTTACGGTAAAAAAACCCATCAGCATGACTTCAGCCACAGACTTAGATCAACTGAAGATAAAAAACATTAAATCTCTTAAGATCTCAGCAGAGGAGGATTAAACAACTCCACAAACAGCATTACCTGCTTCACTTATTACTAACCAGATTTACTTTTTTTCTGTCATACATCTACAGTTCGGTTTGAGAATTAACAGAGGTTTAGATGTTGATGAGAAAAACCACATGAGTTTCACATGTGCAAAAACACATGTGATCCCATGTGATAACGTGGACATGTGATTTTGCACATGTGAAATTTAACATGTGAAATATGTGGAACACATGTGCTTTGCACATGTTAAAGGTAATTTGCACATGGGAAACGTGTGCTTTTGGAACATTTTCCCATGTGAAACCCATGTGATTACATGTGAAACCCATGTATATTCCCATGTGATTACATGTGAAACCCATGTGATTGCATGTGAAATCCATGGGATTGCATGTGAAACCCATGTGATTACATGTGAAACCCATGTATATTCCCATGTGATTACATGTGAAACCCATGTGATTACATGTGAAACCTATGTGATTACATGTGAAACCTATGTGATTACATGTGAAACCCATGTGATTGCATGTGAAACCCATGGGATTGCATGTGAAACCCATGTGATTACATGTGAAATGTAAAATTCCCATGTGAAATCCATGAGCTTACATGTGAAACGTAAAATTCCCATGTGAAACATTTAGGCTGCTTTCACACCTGGATCGATTGGAGACGTTGTTCCGAAACAAAGGGGCGTTTCCCTTTTGGCCCGGTTCGTTTGGTTATATGTGAACACAACAATCACACTCTGAATCGGAACAAAACAACCGAGCCGAGACCGCCTAGAAGAGGTGGTCTCGGCTCGATTCCATACGAACCCTGGAGCAGTTGGTTTGTAGTGAGAACACAACCGACCCACGAACCGGAACAAATCAATGTCTGAGTTTTTTCGCCTTTGCGCGGCACTGCTCGACGGACCGTTCATAACCCCTCTCTCATTTTATAGCTGATCTTCTTGTACACTTCGGTGTTCTTGTGTGTAGTGTCCAACATCCGGGAGATGTGTTCTTCCGACCAAATATCTATGAGGCATTTCACCTCTTCGTAGCACCAAGTCAACCCGCGATTCATTTTGTGTTAGGCTACTGTTGTCATGACGATGTCCCACAATGGAATGCGCGACCTGCATGCATGAGGTAGTGATGTAATGGAGTAAGGAAAGCCCTGGAAGGGTGCGCGATTTGGACCGCTTTACAACAGTGTGGTGTGAACAGAGTGACGTATTAAATTGATTCGGAACAAAGTATTCTGTTTCGGATCTGTTCCGGAACAAAACAAATCGATCCAGGTGTGAAAGCACCCTTAATCACATGTGAAACCCATGAGATATCATGTGAAATGTAAAATATCTCATGTGAAACCCATGGAATGACATTTGAAACCCATCAACAATCCGCTATACACCATGTAAACCTGTAACTTCATGTGAAATCCATGTAAAAATTATTAAGCAATATACCACAGAAAACGGTAGGCCTATGTTCTTGTGTAGGGTCTATAGCCTAATGTTTCCCAACATTAAAACAAATAATTCAAATTAAATTTTTTTTAATTTATTCACTTTTTATTTCATTTCAAAATATGCAATACAAATTGAATGTTTAAAACAAACAAAGCAAAACCAAATTAAAATTATACATAAATACATAAAAAGCCGCAAAAAACGCAGGTATACGCGCATGTGTGTGTGTGTGGTGTGCGTTTGTGAAAGTCCTCAGTCCTTAGTGTCTCCTGCAGCAGGCATCCTGTTTTGGGATAGAAAAAGATCAAAGATTAGGGCAGTGCAAACCATAGACTGTAAAAAAAAATATGGACGTAGTGTCCGTGACGTCACCCCGTAGGTTTCTGAAAAGCATTTTTGAAGCCTAAAGTGGATGGGGGCTTAATAATTAATTATTATTCATTTGTAATGTTATTATGTCATTAAACGTTTTACGTAAATATGCTATGGAAATACATCTTGCTTAAACAACAACTGTATAAGACGAGTGGTGCGTCTCATTTATAAAAGAAACTATTGACAGTTTGTGAATAGATCACAATGTAGACTCAGACTGAGGAATAAACTGAGTCAGTCCTCGCGCATGTCGGTTTCGCAAATGTGAACAGACCACATGGGGATCACACTTGGATGTTGGATCGTCTGAATATTACCTTTCTGCCCGTCTCCTCAGATCTTTTAACTTTTGTGCCATGCAGACCTTGATCTCAGTGCCTCCTATGCCTGGGTGCCTCTTTTTGACATGGTCTGTAAGAAATGAGATTGATTACATTAAAATTTGAAAACAAGTTCGACATGACGTGACATAACTGCCAGATTCAAACTGTGCTTTCCGCGCTATGGCTGGCGCTGACGGACGCGCTCAGTGCTTGTCATATATAATAACTATTGATAAAAGATATTCAGACATGCTTACCAATTATTAGCTGCACCTTTTGTAGGTCAAGGCTCTTTTTTCACCAACAACCCCCTTTTTTCCGTTCATGCTGCCATCTCTTCGAAAGAGAAGATGGAGTCCATAAGAGTTCTGGTTAACTTTTTGTAACCCTTACATCTTTGAGCATGATCCAAAGCAACTGGGTTCATTAAGTCAGTCACAGACTTGTTCTGCAAAGCAAAAAATAAAATAAAAAATAGAAAATTTTCGTCAGGACAGAAACCGTGATCTTTTCAACGTTATTGCGTATTAGGTGAGGTTTTCACTTTGGAGCTGTGAGTGTAAATTTTAGCATACAAGTTTTTATTGTTCATGCTCGAGTCTTGTTACTCTTTCACCTTCATAGTTATTCCAGAGTTTAGGGGTAAAATGCGAGAAATCTCCTTTAGTGGACTTAGATATGCTGGGCACTACTCACTGATCTATATAAATGGCTTGATTGCTCATGACATCATGTAAATTGAAGTCACCATATTCTATTGAATTAATAGGAAATCATCTGACTTTAATGAAAAAACATGACCTAACGAGTCAGTGTTTTTTATATTTGAATACTATATATTCTTACCTTGTAAACATCCAAAACATTTCTGATTATTATCAATGTTGAAAACAGTTGTGCTGATTAATGTGTTTGTGTAAACCATTGTAACAGTTTAAACCATTTTTTCCCCTCCAGGATTCATTGTTAAATAGACCACACACATATGAAGGGTAGTTTACACTAATGTTCAAACATTTGGGGTCAATGATAGATTTAAAAATGAATAGAAAAAATTCATATTTTTACTCAGCAAGGATGCATTAAATTGACCAAAAGAGAGAGTAAGGATTTCTGTTTCAAATAAATGCTGTTATTTTAACCTTTCTATTCATCAAATAATCCTGAAAAACACAAAAATATGAAGCAGCACAACTGTTTTCAACACTGATAATAATCAGAAATATTTTTTGATCATCAAATCGTCATATTAGAATAATTTATGATGGATGATGTGAAGCTGTGATGCTGAAAATTCAGCTTTGATCACAGGAATTAATTGCATTTTACAATATATTGACATAGAAAATAGTTTTTATTTATTTATATTATTTCACAATATTATTGTTTTTAAAGTTTTTTTTGGTGAACATAAGAGACATAAACATTTGTACCAAGACAATTAGTGTATGTTTGACATTAGTGTATGTTTGGCGTTTTACTTACTAATCATATGGTTCATCAATAGTGCTTTAGAGATGAAGATCAGCTCCACTCCGCTACGTTGAAGGGCATCAGCACTGAAGGATCTAAGAACACAACAAGCCATTTGTCACTGAGCCAACAATGCAATGCCAGGTTTATTAAAAGGAAAGAAGCTACAGCAGAGGTGAAATGCAGAAAAGAGAAAGAATTTAAAGAATATACAGAATATAATTTCTTAACAGAATTTGTTTTTGGGTTTACTTATTCATTTAGTTTTGCTCATACGGTGTAACTTCGTTTGGATGCAAAACCTTCTTAAAATAAACAATTTAAAAAAAACATTTTGAGAAATAAAATGAGGTTATTTAATGAGGTTCCTCGGCTCACCTGAGTCCTAACGTTACTTCTCCGGCAGCAACTTTCTCCAGAAATGTTGAAGTCGTTGAGCTTTCTCTCTGTTATGGGTTATTTTGTTACTACTGAAATCACAGAACATTTTTTTATCAAAATGTGTTTAACGTTACCATTGAGCTAACGTTAGTTTCAGCCAATTTTCTTGCTCCTAAAAGTAACATCACTATATATATATATAAAGATGTCCTGAAAGTGCTTTGTAAATAGAATATGAAAGCAGTAGCCTATTGATTATATCAAATATAATATTATACTGTTGATTATGTAAAATATATTTATAATATAGCTTTAGAAATGGTAAACAGTGTTGAAATAAAAGTATTGCAAAAACTCACTTGATTAAAAACTATACGCTTCATTATCATTAAAATATTTTCATGAATATATTTTCACATTAGTAGGCAAATGTGGGCCTAGGCCTAAACATGCATTATAAGCTTTATGTTCTATGCATTTTGTGTGAAAAAGGCTATTAAAGCTAAAAATGTACAGTATTTGTGACGTGGTAACATAATTCACATGTTAAAACCTATTACAACGTGCAAATATATTTCACATGAGCTCCACATTATTACCTATAACATGTTCCCTTTCGAGGGAACTCGCGATGCGTCATCGACGCTTTGGGAACGCCCCCAGCGTGAATGCGTCTGAGCATCAATGTCAACTAGTCCAATGGAAAGAATCAGCGTCACGGGCGGGTGACGTCATGACCAGGAAGGCATAAGAGCACATCCGGTGAAACGCGGCATTAGCTTCTGTGTCTCAGCAAGCGATCTGTGTTACTCTGTCTCTGTCTATTTATTGTTGTCTGTTCGATATTATTGGGAAGAGTTATGGCGAAAAAACTTTACAAACTCTGTGCTTCTCCCTGCCCGCGTTATTTAACGGGTGGGGACACACACAAGCTTTGTGTAGTTTGTTTGGGAGTGGAGCATGCGGTATCAGCCTCCGAGGGGGCTGATTGCAACATTGTGAGAAGCTTTCGCTTCGCATGCTCCACTCCCGCCTGTCACTTTTCGAGGAAAGTGGCCAGGCTCGCGATCCTCAGGGTGCAGGACCCGCGTCTGCCGAGGCAGCGAGGAGAATGCATTCCTGTGGATCACGAATAGGATCTCTTTACGGGGTTGGAGACGGGTCCGCGGATCTTATCTCCTCCCTTTCCACGAGGGATCCAGTGCTCTCTCTCCGGTCTCGGAAGCCCGCGCTGCGGTCTCTTCCGCCCGGGGAGAGAAATCAATGCTTCAGTGCTCTACCTCCGAGGAGGTAGATGTGCTGGGCATTGAAAGTGTACACAATCATGGGGGAAGTGGATTTGCCATCTCTTTCCCCAGCGTATGAGAAATATATAAGCCTATATATATATATCTGATAGTTTATATATTATATATAAAAAATATATATATAAAAATAAGCTGGTGGAGGTGTTTAGTAAGGCTGTAGATAAATTAAATATTTAATGGCCAGCAGAAATAAGGGGGCACTCGTTCTAAAAAATAAAACGAGTTTCCTTCCCTCTATTTGTTCACCTCCATCACGGGGCCTTCCATTTTTCCCGATCTGCACAGCGAGCTGTCTAGATCATGGAAAAAGCCTTACTCTTCTTGTTTTTTAGCCCCCACATTCATGTATATTCAGATATTAGGGGGTTAAGAGAGTATGGCTATGGGGCAATACCCCGGTTAGAACAGACGCTTGCGAGCTATCTGTCTCCCGGTTCAGTATCGACCCTGAAGGTGTCGGCTTCTCTCACTAAACCATTAAAGAAAACTATTTTTAATCTAGTGGGAAAAGCATTTACGGCAGTGGGTCTAGCAGGAGCCTGCTTGCACACTATAGCAGTGCTACAAGCATATCAGGCTGACCTGCTGTGGTATTTGGACAGAAGTGAGGGAGTTTGGCCCGATGGGGTTTGTGAGAACTTTGTCGGGCCACAGATTTATCTCTCAGGGATGGCAGCCCTTGTGGTCACTGAGAGACACCTCTGGCTCAATTTGATGGGAATCATGGAGAAAGATACAATATAATCTCTCCCTCGCTATGTCCCTTCCCTGGGGCTGCTGGGCGTGAGCAGCTCCAGCCGTCTAGTTTCTCATACACAACACAGCAGCCAAAGCCTTCAAAGCAGAAGCCGGATCCGAGGACCGTTCTTCATGCTGAGAAAGCTTCGGCTCGAAGGAAAAGGTCTGGCGCCACCGGCGTCAGACCGTTGAGGGCAGCCCCAATCGGGGTGGAATGGTGAACACCTCATTATACGGTGCCCTTTCCATCTCGGTGCCCTCAGGGGATCGTTCTGCCAACCCGCCACCCTTGGTGCTCGGGGCGCAGCGTTCTCCAAGCGAGCTTCTGGCGCAGCGTCAACTCGACGTTGCGTCGGACTCGCGCCCTCTGAGGGGGGTTCGAAAACAGTCAGTTCGGGTGGTTCCTGCCAGTATGCTTCAGGTCCCCGAGCTGGCTGTCTTTATTACATCAGAGGCCAGCCTCGAGGGGCTGGTTCCCTTGGTAGATTTTCTTGCAGCGCATTAGCTACTGCCAAATATATCTCTATGGGTCCTGCAGTTAGTAGTAAGAGGCAGATTTGGTTCTCGTCCTCCAGGCTACAACGGGGTGTTGCTCACGTTAGTGCATTCCGAGCAGGCTCTGGTAATGGAGCAAGAGGTAAAGGCCCTGTTAGCAAAAAAAGCTATAGAGCAGGTGTACTCACCCGACATTGCGTCGGGTCTTTACAGTCGTTATCTCATTTCTCCAAAAAAGGATGGAGAGCTGCGTCACTTACTAGATCTTCGTCTGTTGGAGTGTTTGGTGCTGGAACTCAAGTCCAAGATGCTGACACTCAAACAGATCGTGACTCAAATCAGATCCGAGGACTGGTTTGTCACGATAGATCTAAAAGACGCATACTTCCATATCTCCATCCTCCCTCAGCACAGGAGGTTCCTGAGGTTTTCTTTGGGGCAAAGAACACCAGTATCAGGCACTTCCTTTCGGTCTAGCTCTATCACCCCGCACATTCACGAAGTGTGTAGACGCAGCTCTGACCCCGCCAGGCTGCAGTGTATACGCATTCTGAATTGCATAGATGACTGGCTGATTCTAGCGGAATCAGAACAGTTAGCGGTTCGGCACCGAGGTGTCGTTCTCGCTCATATGCAGATGTTGGGGTTGAGGCTCAATGCCAAGAAGAGTGTGCTTTCTCCAGCACAGAGAACCACTTTCCTTGGTGTGGTATGGGATTCAGTGACGATGCGGGCCACTCTGTCGCCCGTTCGTGTAGCTGCTATCCTAACAGCCACAAAAGAGCTGAGGCTAGGCCAGTCACGCACTGTAAAACAGTTCGAGAGACTGTTGGGTCTTGTGGCAGTAGCGTCCAACGGGATACCTTTTGGCCTGCTGTACATGAGACCTTTGCAGTGGTGGCTCAGGACCAGAGGGTTCTCCCCGAGGGGAAACCCTCTTCGTATGATCAAGATCACGCGGCGGTGCCTTCGTGCCTTGGTTATATGGAGGAAACACTGGTTCTTAACCCAGGGTCCGGTGTTGGGAGCTCTTTGCCATCGAGTTGCTATCTCGACAGATGCTTCCCTCACCGGCTGGGGAGCGGTATTGGAAGGCCGCTCAGCTCAGGGCTTGGGAGGAGTCATCCTCTCGCTTGGCACATGAATTGCCTAGAGATGATGGTAGTCTTCAATGCGTTGAGACATCTCCTCCCAGACCTGAGGGGCCATCATGTGTTGTTCTAGAACAGTGACTGTTAGGCCTCAGGGCAGCAGCGTTCAATGTGATACCCTTTGACCTGCTGTACGTGAGACCTTTACAGTGGTGGCTCAGGACCAGAGGGTTCTCCCTGAGGGGAAACCCACTCCGTACGATCAAGATCACGCGACAGTATCCCCGCGCCTTGGTTATATGGAGGAAACTCTGGTTCTTGACCCACAGACAACACGTTGGTGGCCTATTATTTTGGTCCCTCAGGAAATTACGCTGTCTGAGGGCAGTGTATATTCCAGGGGGGCCAGAATATTGGAGCAGACACCCTGTCGAGGCAGGGGCTGAGGCCAGGGGACTCCACCCCGAGGCGGTGGAGCAAATATGGGAGTTTTATGGCCAGGCAGAAGTGGATTTGTTCTCGTCTCAGCATACGACGCACTGTCCACTCTGGTTATCCCTCACTCAACCAGTCCCCTCGGGGCTGGTTGCTATGGTGCAGACGTGGCTGAGGCTACGTCTGTACGCATTTCCCACTGTTGCTCTGCTCCCAGGAGTTCTGGAGTGATTCCGCCAGGATGGAATAAGCCTATTTAGTAGCACCACCCTGGCCGAGCTGAATTTGGTTTGCGGACCTAATTTTTCTCCTCGACGGACCTCCCTTTGAGGTCCCGATCAGGAGAGACCTTCTGTCTCAGGCAGGGGATGCAATATTGCACCCCCGGCAGGGGATTTGGAAACTGTGGGTTTGGCCTCTGAGGGGGCCCAACTCATGGAGAGTGGTCTCTCAACCGAGGTTGTTGAGACCATTCTAATCTCCAGAGCTCCCGCTACGAGGAAACTATATTCACTATTTCGAGAGTTTTTCACTTCTTGGTGTTACCAGCGTCAGTGGGATCCGGTTAACTGTTCAGTAAACACAGTATTCGAGTTTCTGCAAGAACGCTTTGTATCAGGTCTATGTCCTTCCAAGCTTAAGGTATACGTGGCGGCCATTGCGGCTTTCCACGCCCTGGTGGGTAGTACATTTTTGGGTCGAGACCCCCTGATCACTCGTTTCCTTCGTGGCACTTTGAGGCTGAGGCCTGCAACTTGCACTAGGGTGCTGGCTTGGGACCTTGCAATAGTTCTAGAAGGCCTATCTGGGGCTCCCTTCGAGCCCTTAGATTTGGTCTCAGAGAAGTTCCTTTCTTTTAAGACTATTTTCTGCTAGCTATTTCGTGCCTATTAGAGTCAGACCTTCAGGCCCTTTCGGTCCCCACCTGCCTTGAGTGCACCGGGGATGGCCAAGGCAATCTTACCCGAAACATGGATATGTTCCAAAGGTGCCTACCATTATTCCGAGGCCTATTGTGCTGCAGGTTTCTGTCCTCCTTTTACATCTGCGGACCAGGAAAGGCTGAACCTCTTGTGTCCAGTGCGAGCACTGGATACTTATGTTCATCGGACATCTTCAATGAGGAAGTCCGACTAGTTTATTTATTTGCTTTGGATCACCTAAGAAGGGTCTTCCTGCTTTTAAACAGACGGTTAGTAAGTGGATAGTTGAGGCTATTTCACTTGCATACGAGTACTCTGACCAGCCGTGTCCTTTGGCGGTCAGAGCTCACTCTACGAGGGGTATGGCGGCCTCTAAAGCCTTACTTTTTGGAGTTTCTCTTCAAGACGTTTGTGATGCGGCAGGCTGGTCCTCACCGCTCACATTCGTCAGGTTTTACAGTTTGGACCTGGATGCTGCCCCAGGTTCTCAGGTGCTTAGTGCTTAGTTCCAACAGACTGACACTCAGGTACTTGGAATTCTGGCGTTTTGGGTATTCTCGTTCCCAAAGCGTCGATGACGCATCGCGAGTTCCCTCGAAAGGGAACGTTTTAGGTTACTACTGTAACCATAGTTCCCTGAGAAAGGGAACGAGAGGATGCGTCACCCTGCCATACTTCCTGCATCCCTGTGATCGGCTTGCTTCGACTTTTTGAAGCTAATGCCGCGTTTCACCGGATGTGCTCTTATGCCTTCCTGGTCATGACGTCACCCGCCCGTGACGCTCATTCTTTCCATTGGACTAGTTGACATTGATGCTCAGACGCATTCACGCTGGGGGCGTTCCCAAAGCGTCGATGACGCATCGTCTCGTTCCCTTTCTCAGGGAACTATGGTTACAGTAGTAACCTGAGACGTTTTCCACATGTGCCACGTGTTCCATTAAGTTCACATGTGGTGACATGTTGTTCACATGTGGTGAAACATTGTTCACATGTGATAACATGTTGTTCATATGTGGTCACATGTGGAAAACATGTGATAACATGTGAAATTCATGTGTTTTTTCTGTAACTTAAGTTACCATGATGGTGATCAGTGACTGTTTTAGTTGGGCTCTTGACCCTGTTTATCTCTGGCTGCTGAAACTCTGTATTTATGAGACAATTTGGTTATGGCAAGAAAGTCAGACAGGAAAATGAATCTGGTGGTGTTGATTATATCTTGATGATGGCATGAGCTGCATGATCATCATGTAGTGACCTGATTCACTAAGTGTATCTCAGATTTCTTGTACAGTCAATCGCAAAGCTCTTTCCCGTCTTAGATGTGTGTTTTTCACAGCATTTACAGTGAAAACAAATGCTGCCACTCAGACTTTTTGCCACTTAGTGGGTGTAACCACAGTCACTTCTGCCAGCTGTGACATCAGACGCATGCCCTCTATTTACAAAAAACAAAGAGGCCTCCTAAGACATGTTAGATACTATAAGAACACCAGCGTAATGGTGACCCACAGTTCTTGCAACAATGGTTATTTCAAGGTGTATCACAGAAGGTATTTAAATTATGTAATGTGTGTTTTAAGGTATAGAAAAATTTGACGGATGTTCAAAATAAATTTCAAAGTTGTTTATTGATATGGCACAAATATATATTTAAACCAAATTAACCTGAAGATTATATGTTTACACAATTCTTTAAAGTAAATATTAATCTAAAGTTAATTTATAAATATATTATTGTTCATTGATAATTCATGTGTGTTCACAAAACAAATTTAACTTTATTGTTCTCAAGTTAATGCAAACTGCTGTTTTTTAACATGTTTAAAAATCATAGAAACATTGTGTACTTTCTTCTTCAGGTCAATGAAGTAACTCTGCCTGATGCAAAATGGAAAATGGGACATATTTTTACTTGATGTTGTTTGAAAATCTAGGATACATAAGATATGCTTTCTTCAGTTTAGGATTTATTCTGTACTGTGCTATCATGTTATTTAATGTCCTTATTATGCTTGCAATATTTCTGGAAAGGACTTTACACCAGCCCATGTACATTCTGATTTCATGTTTGTCTTTCAACTCTGTGTTTGGAACAGCTGGCTTTTTCCCAAGAGCACTGACAGACTTGCTGTCTGATACACACTCAATCTCCCTTGAAGCATGTATCTTACAGTCTGTTGTAATTTTCACGTATGCCGCAAATGAATATACAATATTAATGTTAATGGCATTTGACAGACTTACTGCAATCAGTAAACCTTTACGGTATCACAACATAATTACACCAAGGTTTTTGATTGTTTCAGTAAGTATAAACATGGCTTTTCCAATGATTTTACTTAGTATTTGTGGTCTTTTAAGTACAAAACTGAGAATGTGTGGTAACAAATTGTTTAAAGTGTACTGCCACAACTATGAAGTAGTCAAGCTTTCTTGCGAAAGCACAATAATTACTAATGTTTTTGGCTTGTTAATATTAATCACAACTATTGTAATCCCTTTAAGTTTGATATTATATTCTTATGTAAAAATTCTTATTGTTTGTCAAAGAAGCTCATCACAGTTCAAGGGCAAAGCTTATCAAACTTGTATTCCACACATAGTGGTCCTTTTGAATTTCTCAATTGCTGTTATTTCTGAGGTCACTTTGAGTCGAGTTGTCACCTTAGAACTTCCTATATGGCTGTCAGTTTTTCTTTCTCTGGGGTTCCTTATTATTCCACCCATCCTGAACCCTCTTGTTTATGCTTTTAACCTGCCTGATATTCGCAAAAAAATAATTTGTCTTCTAAACCCCTCCAGGTAGATATTTTTTTTTTTTTTTTTTTTTTTTTTGGTGTAATAAATGTTACACAGAATAATATACAGACAATTATTAATATATATATATTTTTTTCAAAGAATTGTAACCGAATTAAAAGTTTCACACTCTAAAGTTATGCATTCCATGCTATATGGGCCATTCTACAGAATTGGTGCAAAGTCAGAGTTGGAAACATCTTGTTTTTTTCCCACAAATTTTGCATGTATGCAAATTGTATAATATCCAAGCTACGCTTTTCTAGTAATTGTGCAGTTAATTCTCATATTGTATTTTCAGAAAATGCTGGAATATTTTCCTTCTCCCCAAATTTGTCACTACCGAAACACAATATTAAATAATTTATTAAGTATAAATGACCTATTAAGATTTTGTTTACATTTACCTTATAAATATATATATATATATTTTTCTGTTTTTAAAAAATATTTTTACAGGTTAAATAAATAAAGATTATAATTTTAATAATATTTTAAGTGTAATTTATGAGATTTGTTGTATTTTGAACCCAATCTTTCTTAGTAGAAGGCAAAAAGTTTATCGTACTGATTTCAAAGTTAAGGATTCATTAGTTTGAATATGCATTGAACCAAACACTATCATAACATCTTAGTTGATAATTCAATATACTTTATTTTTGACAAAACATCCCATGTTACGGTAGTGACTGCACATTTTTGGTAGTGACAGTAATGTTTTGGTAGTGACCACAATACTTAGTTTGCCATGGTTGAATCAGACTGTCCACATTTGATGTTAATATAAATAAATAACTATGATGCACATATGCAGTCAGTATAGCAGACACACATCTGACAGTAAATATCTTATAAGAACACCTAGAGCTATTCTATACTTTGGGTCTTGAGGTGCAAGTGAGAAGAGGTATGCTCATAGATTTTTCTTCCTAAAAAAACCTACGATGTAGACTGTTTCAGAACCACTTTGTTTTATTTTCACATTTTCAACATTTTGTTTATGAGTCATTCAGATAAATCTCCAGAACCACTGAACTGTGTGTGTGTGTGTGTTTACATAAAACATTAATTTCAGAATAATTTTCCTCATTCAGATAAATCTCCAGAACTTCATGTAATATATATATTACATGAAGTTATATATATATATATTACAAATATATAAATATATATATATATATATATATATATATATATATATATATATATATTTATTTATTTATTTTTAAACAAGAATGGAAAAATTTGCAAAAAAAAATTCAATATCATTTTTTTACAAGTTGAAATTTAGGGGTTAGGGTTTGGGACAGCCACCTCCTAATTGAAAGTAGCCCATAAATGATGATTTTATATATATAAAGCTTACTGATATCTTAAATATTATTGTGGGTTTCAATAGATAATTGAAGGATCTTAGTAAACATCTAAGATTTGAATAATTAAATGCATTTCAAATGTGTTTTTTTGGATGAGGGACAGCAGTTTGAACCAATTCTGTAGAATGGCCCATATAGCGCTTTTTACAATACAGATTGTATCAAAGCAGCTTCAAGTCAAGTCAAGTCAAATATATTTATATAGCGCTTTTCACAATACAGATTGTATCAAAGCTGCTTCACAGTATCAATCAAAACAACTTAACAGTGTTTGTTTATTACTGGAAAAGACATCCAAGTTTGGTAGAGCTGATCAGTGGTATGATGGGTCATTTAATTTGAATATCCCCAACTGAGCAAGCCAAAGGCAACAGTGGCAAGGAACCGAAAAACTCCATCAAGTGACCCGATGGTGTCCTAAAACTCCATCAGATGACCCAATGGAGAAAAAAAACCTTGAGAGAACCCAGGCTCAGTCGGGGCCAGTTCTCCTCTGGCGTTTATGAAGTAGAGGCCAAATTTACAGTAACTGTAAGATTAAAATTTTTATATGAATGCCTGGCTAAATAGATGCGTCTTTAGTCTAGTTTTAAACTGGGAGAACGAGTCTGAGCAATGAACAATATCAGGAAGGCTATTCCAGAGCTTCGGAGCTAAATGTGAAAATGCTCTCCCTCCTTTGGTGGATCTGGATATCCTAGGAATGACCAGAAGCCTCGAATTTAGTGATCTTAAAGAGCGCGATGGATTATAGGGCGATAGAAAATCCGTTAAATAGACTGGAGCTAAACCATTTAGAGCTTTATAAGTCAAAAGCAATATCTTGTAATTAATACGGAACTTTATAGGTAACCAATGAAGTGATGATAGAATCGGTGTTATATGATCATATTTTCTTGATCTAGTAAGAACTCTAGCGGCTGCATTTTGGACTAACTGTAGCTTGTTTATTGAAGATGTAGGACAACTAGCTAATAAAGCATTACAGTAATCTAGTCTCGAGGTCATGAATGCATGAACTAACTTTTCTGCATCAGGGACCGATAGCATATTACGTAGCTTAGCAATGTTTCTAAGGTGGAAAAAGGCTGTTTTTGCAACATATGAAATATGCTTTTCAAAAGACAGGTTGCAGTCTAATGTAACACCGAGGTCTTTTACTGTAGCGGATAAAGTAACAGGGCATCCTAATATGTTAAAGTCGTGCTGTGAAAGGTTTTGTGGACGGTTTTTAGAACCGATAAGTATTACCTCTGTCTTGTCTGGATTTAATAAAAGAAAATTACGCGTCATCCAATCTTTTATATCTTTAACACAATCTGTCAATTTGGATAATTTAGCATATTCATCTGGCCGTGATGAAATATTTATTTGAGTGTCATCGGCATAACAATGGAAACTAATTCCATGTTTCCTTAGAATATTACCAAGTGGCAGCATATATATTGAGAATAATAAAGGGCCTAACACAGATCCCTGCGGCACTCCATAGTTTGCCGAAGTTATGATCGATTTTTCTCCATTTAAGTAGACGAAATGGTAGCGGTCAGATAAGTATGACCTGAACCAGCTTAATGCTTGTCCTTGAACACCAATGTAATTTTGTAGTCGATCTTCAAAGTGATAACATGAAAATAATACAACAAAGTTTGTTTCTAGAATAAAATTGCATCATCGTCCACCTTCAGTAAGGCAGATCAATAATATTGTTGAATATTAAATGTCTCCTATTAAATGTCTCCAACTAAGCAAGCCAAAAGCCAAGGCAACAGTGGCAAGGTAACAGTGCCAAAATTCCATCTGGTGGAATGGAGAAAAAAACCTTGGGAGAAACCAGGCTCAGTCGGGGGCCAGTTCTCCTCTGGCCAACGAAGAAACAGTGTATGATTATGATTCGGGCAGCATTACAAGTCAGATTGGTTCGGAACATTTAGTGTTTTTATCCATTTCCATCTGGTTGGAAGTCGAAGTCATCACGCCGGTATGGAGACGAGTTGTTGAGGATCAGTGCCGATGGCTGTGGTGTCGATGAGGCCTTCACAGGGCTGATGAGGCTGGCACTTCAGGATGCGTTGGGGTGGATCCAGGCGCAGGTCCACCATAGAAGAGAGATTAGTTGACACTTGACTACGTTTTCGTCGTGTCCAGGTGCTGGTCCTTCATCAGATCTGGATCTGGCGGACTGGGGTAAACCTCGGATAAACAGAGAGACTAATATTAGCGTAGACGCCATCCTTCTTATGATGTACCAAATACATCAGGATTTACAGGAAGTGTTCCCGGTTCCGGCTGATTTAAACTATGCTGCCTAACATTGAATTATAGAAGTCTATATTGTGTTATGTGTATGTCACAGGTCGGGGTGCGAGCGCCAGCGGGCCGCCCACCCCCTCGGAACCGAACCACCGCCCGAGGAGCGTGCCGTGGGACACATGAGGCAGACACAGCATTTAAAATAAATATAAGTTCTTTATTAAATAATAAAAACAATATTAATAGTCTCTTCTTTGGGCTAGGACAGAGAGAGAGAGATGAACAATTCACAGCTTCCGCGTTCTCTTCTTCAGCGTTCTCTTCTTCGGGGCTCAAGCAGAGAGAGATGCACACACACATGGACGTACCTCCAGTTTCAGACAGAGAGAGGAATGAACATAATTCACAGCTTCCGCGTTCTCTTCTTCAGCGTTCTCTTCGGGGCTCAAGCAGAGAGAAATGCACACACACATGGACGTACCTCCAGTTTCAGACAGAGAGAGGAATGAATATAATTCACAGCTTCCGCGTTCTCTTCTTCAGCGTTCTCTTCGGGGCTCAGACAGAGAGAGATGCACACACACATGGACGTACCTCCAGTTTCAGACAGAGAGAGGAATGAACATAATTCACAGCTTCCGCGTTCTCTTCTTCAGCGTTCTCTTCGGGGCTCAGACAGAGAGAGATGCACACACACATGGACGTACCTCCAGTTTCAGACAGAGAGAGGAATGAACATAATTCACAGCTTCCGCGTTCTCTTCTTCAGCATTCTCTTCGGGGCTCAAGCAGAGAGAGATGCACACACACATGGACGTACCTCCAGTTTCAAACAGAGAGAGGAATGAACATAATTCACAGCTTCCGCGTTCTCTTCTTCAGCGTTCTCTTCGGGGCTCAAGCAGAGAGAGATGCACACACACATGGACGTACCTCCAGTTTCAGACAGAGAGAGGAATGAACATAATTCACAGCTTCCGCGTTCTCTTCTTCAGCATTCTCTTCAGGGCTCAGACAGAGAGAGATGCACACACACATGGACGTACCTCCAGTTTCAAACAGAGAGAGGAATGAACATAATTCACAGCTTCCGCGTTCTCTTCTTCAGCATTCTCTTCGGGGCTCAGACAGAGAGAGATGCACACACACATGGACGTACCTCCAGTTTCAGACAGAGAGAGGAATGAACATAATTCACAGCTTCCACGTTCTCTTCTTCAGCATTCTCTTCGGGGCTCAAGCAGAGAGAGATGGACACACACATGGACGTACCTCCAGTTTCAGACAGAGAGAGGAATGAACATAATTCACAGCTTCCGCGTTCTCTTCTTCAGCATTCTCTTCGGGGCTCAGACAGAGAGAGATGCACACACACATG